CCTGCTTAAGCAGGAGATCCTACACCAGGGATGGCGAAACTTTTTCTTACGGCGTGCTATAATTGTGTACGTGCGCGCTATTGTGTGAATGCCCACATTACTTCAATCCTCCCTGCCCACATGCGCATGTGCGTGGGACCCCTCCCCAGGATCTGGAGGCTTTCCTGAAGCCTGGGGAGAACAAAACCAGCCCCCTCCCGGCTCCCCAGAGGCCCCCCCGGAAGCCGGAAATGGATTGTTTCTGACCTTTTGGTTGGCCCGTTGGGGCCGTTTTTCACCCTCCCCAACCTCCGGAGGCTTTTCTGAAGCCTTTGGAGGGCACAAATGGCCTCCCCCGGCCCTCCAGAAGGGCAAAAAATCAGCTGGCGTCTGGCGTGCCAGCAAATATGGCTCCATGTGCCACCTGCGGCACACCATCACAGCCCTACACCATTTCACATAAATGGTTGCCCAGTCTCTTTCTGAAAGTCTCCAGTGATGGAGCATCCACAACTTTTCCATTGGTTGATTGTTCTCACCTTACAATTCTTTTTCCATTCTAAGTTGCTTTTCTCCTTGATTAATTTCCATCCATTGCTTCTTGTCCTGCCTTCAGGTTCCTTGGATAATAGTTTGACTCCCTCTTCTTTGTGGCAACCCCTGAGATATTGGAACACTGCCATCATGCCTCCCCTAGTCCTTCTTTTCACTGAACGAGACATACCCAGTTCCTGCAACCGTTCCTTATATGTTTTATCCTCCAGTCCCGTAATCATCTTTGTTGCTCTTCTCTGCAGTCTTTCTAGAGTCCAACATCTATTTTATTATGGTAGTGATCAGAACCGGATTTCCCACTGAACCTTACTTTTCCCCCATTTAATTTCATTTTGTTAGATAGCGCCCAATGTTCAAGTCTATCGAGATCCTTCTGTATCTTAAGCCTATCTTCTGGATTGTTGGCGATTCCTGCCAGCTTGGCGTCGTCTGCAAATTTGATAGGTTCTCCATCTATCCTCTCATCTAAATGATTGATGAAGATGTTGAAGAGTACTGGGCCTAAGACAGAGCCTTGGGGTCCCCCNTGGTCGATGCCTGCTTCATAATAAGTGACCCAATATTGTAATACAAAAAGCAGTGATTTATTAACAGCTTCATTAGGCATTCTTCATTAGGCATTTCTTATTTGCAGCCATCTTTTTTGCTTTCTTTATCTGCTTTTGAACTTTGCCCGTGTTTCTGTCCTCCCTTCAGTCTGTCATAAATCACATTATCCAATAGCTTCATTCATCTTAACCCTGCTACTGTAATCTGAGATCCGGCTCTGCTGACGCTCTGCATGGAATGTCAACACAGGGAGTTTGAAACCTCTGTCTTATATCTTTTCCCTGGCAGTCCTAAAATCTGAACTTGAAGTGTGAAAGAGTTGAATTGATGGCTCCTATTCTTCTGTACAATGACTTTGACAATTATTTTTGTAACAGGTTGTTAGCGACGTTTATTAATAATTTCCTGGATAATCAGATGAATACTTTTATACAAAAGATAATACTTGTGTTATCTTTTGTCTAACTTGTTTATTATACATGTTTCTTTTCTATGGTTATTATAAAATTCATCTATAATTATAGGATATTAATTTTTCCTATTTTAGTTAGCAATCTACAGGCAGGCTGTATGTCATAAAGGCAGTTGATTGGATATTTTTTTTTAAAAAAATTGTTCCTGTGTTCCTCCCTCTATAAATATAGTTATATTTTAGTTATATTTTATTTGTCTTACTGTCATTTACCATAATGGGGAAATAAACTTGACTGAAAAATAAGAATTAAAATATTCGGGCAATTTCTGTATCAACCACTAGCAAATTTATAATTTAATTAAATATCAGATTTAAAATGTATTTGTCTATTTTTCTCATTTACATTGCATTTATATCCCAAAGTGCCCCTGTCTCTGTTATTATAGCTTCATTTTTATACCTGTGAATAATGATTTTTCAATTGTAACCCTACAATAATCAACGGATTAATATTTTATTCACTGAATCAGGGCCAGTAGTTCATAGACATTAAGGGGGAAAATACAAATTCTGCATTGTACTAATAAGCTTACTAAAGGAGGAGCTTGATGAAAGATAATTGAAGTAAGGCATTGCTATGTTCCAAGATCAGCTAAGGAAAAGAAATCAATTTTGTTTTGGAGAATGAGCTTGAAGCTGCATGCTGTTACCTTACATTATAAAATACCTCATTTGTTAACTCTTCTCAATATATTGGAACTATTTACTTAAACATATGCAGACAGAGATGTGCAGTTTACTGATTCTTCAAATCGTATATCTCAATTAAGATAAGAAAGAGTGTCCTAATTTAGGACACAACTAAATTCAAGCAGTTTGTTTAATAGAGTGTTTAAATATTAGAATATTTAGAATATATTTATTTAAATATTAGAATATTTAAATGCTCTATTAAGCAAGCTTCTTGAATTTAGTTGAATAAGCAATGAATTAGGACACTCTTTCTTATGTCTAATAAGAAACTGATTCTTTAGAATATTATTACCATCCTATTATTATTTAAAGTATTTTAAAGTTGCTTAAAAGCAACTTTTTTTAAAAAAATAATGAGACATTTCCCAAGGGATTTCTGGTTCTTTTTCTGTGGAGAGAGTAGAAATTTTAAATATAATATGGAAATGTGTTGCTTTGTTCTCTTGTTTTATTTTATCCTTTCTCCCCACGTTGGAAGTAATAATTAGTTACTGCCAAGCAACCTGTTTCAACTGTATTTCTGATTGTGATTCATTAAGGGATTATATTGGCTGATTTGGTTTCATTCTATTTAAAACAAGCAAACAAAATATTATCTTTTCCATTAAGTGGTCATGCATATGGCATAAATACATATATATTTTGCCCTACTTTGGACAAGGTTATAGCAGAATGAATATTTCATCACATGTATATCTGTGTTTTACAGCTGCACTCCAATTCCGACAAAGGTGATGGATCAGTCAAATACATTCTTACCGGTGAAGGGGCTGGGACTATCTTCATTATCGATGACACGACCGGAGACATCCATTCAACCAAAAGTCTAGATCGAGAAAAGAAGACGCACTATGTGCTACACGCCCAAGCTATTGATCGATGGACAAACAAGCCACTTGAACCTGAATCTGAGTTTATCATCAAAGTACAAGATATCAATGACAATGCACCCAAATTTACAGATGGACCATATATCGTTACTGTGCCCGAGATGTCTGATATGGGTAAGAAGAAGAATCAGAAATAGCACTGATGTACCATTGATTTGACATTTGATGGGTGTGTGTGTGTTATGTTTTCTTGAGACAATAGAGCATGTGTCTTCGTTATTTTAGCTGTTAATTTGAAAAAAAAAGTATGAGCAGTTCTTCTTCCTCTTCAATGACTTCACTAGAATTTCTGGGTGTTTTTTTCTGAGAAGGCTGTAGTATATTTTTTTTATTCCGTGTTTTCCCCAAAAATAAAAACAACATTAAAATTCCACAACATTCATATAGCTTAGGATGGGGCTGGATAAATCAACAGCCCCAGGCTTGCCGGAACAGCCAAGTCTTAACTGCTTTGCAGAAGGCCGGAAGCGTAGTGAGGGTCCGGATCTCCACGGGAAGATCGTTCCATAGGGCTGGAGCAGCTACAGAGAAGGCCCTCCCCCGGGGAGTCGCCAGCCGACATTGACTGGCAGATGGAATCCGGAGGAGGCCTAGTCTGTGTGATCTTATGGGTCTCTGGGAGGTAAATGGCCGGAGATGGTCTCTCCGGTAGCTTTGCTTTGCAGGCCTGTGAAGGTTGCAAATGTGCAAAGTTACTTTTTCATCCTTGTCACAATTACTAACAGGCACTAAATGAGGCAGTTGCTCAATGAGAACGACCTGCATTATCATTCTTAATGTCATTTAGTATATTCATGATGACAGCAGCAAATGTTAATTGGAAAGGTGGGTAGCAAATCAAGTAAAGTGAGAAAAGAATACAGACTTGCTACGCACTGTTGTGAATCCCTCTTGTCACCCTTATCATTCATTTCTTTGGACTGAAAATTTGCTCCATGACCCTGAAATAATTTTAATTTCTAATGGAACTTGTAAAGAAAACCTTTTTCTTAGTGTTCTCCGTCTCCGTCTGCACAAACTTTGACTTTCGCAATTTCTTCTGCCTTTTCAGCCACTCATTATCTATTTAGTAAGGAGGCTGTTGAAGAGCATTTCAAT